ATTACAATTTTAATTTTATTATGACAAATTAATTCTTAAAAATGCATATGAACAACCAAAAGGCCAACTGAATATTTTTCTTTAAAAAATTTCAGTAAATGTTCAAAAATATTTTTGTTTTGGCAAGGGTTGAAACTGAAGATCAGTGTAATATTACCGGAATTTATTAAATCTGTTACCGCAATTGTGAAAGAGCATGTCAGATGTATTTGTATGCATATCCTGAAAAAAATAGATCGGAATTTGTTTGAATATTGAGCACTCACGGGAATAAAACTTTAAAAATGTTTTATTTCTAACAATAGGGTATTTTGTTTAAAATAAGGAAGTTAATGCCGGCTTCCTTATATAACCGGAAGCGCCATAAAGTTCTAAATTTTAGCTGTGTAGGCCCTACTGCCTTTGCTGGGTTGTCAAATTTTGAGATTTATCGGATCAGTACTTTCCGAGATATCGATAGTGGCGATTCCTGGTGGGACACCCTGTATATATTTTTAAGATTCACTCTGTATACATGCATATACTTACTTCGTTTGCTTATTTCTCCTGGTGTTCTCTTCGAACTATTGACATAAAGCGATTGTCTCGGTGTTATAGTTATATTATCTTCAAGTGGGCAAAACAATTGATGAAGGTTTTCGAGTGAGGATATCCTGTCTATAATAATTTACATTAATTACAGAGATTTCGTTTGAAATGAATAGTTTAAAAAAATTAACATACCTTTGTACAAGATCTCACCGAAAGAAATTCTGAACAAAATTATCAGAAACAGATTGCTATTGTAAACCACAAGCATACTGAAGTAGCAATATACAAGAACTAAGCTGTTATACAGATCTCGTCTTGAATTTCAACTGAATAACCACTTTTCGTTAATATGGACCTGAAATTATAATTAAGCTACCATCGTTTTTTCTAACAGCTGATTTCTTCTAATTGCTGATGAAATGGCCATGAACCAAAGTACTAGGATTTTTATTATAATTTTTCTTATTTATTCACCTTTGGTCTTGTACAGTGCAGAATAAATACTAAAGAAAATTGAATTCTATGCCCCAATTATAAAAAATCAGTTACTTACATTTTCCATTAGTTTTTTATTCCTAAAATTCAACATATCTACCTAATAGTTTATTTTCGAATTCTGGTTTATCCAGTTTTGTTTTTTACTATACACCACTAGCTGTTTTATAATAACATTATTATAATTAATTTCAAATTAATTAAAATGATCTGCTCCGTAAGGCCTGTTTTGGTTCTCTCAGCGGACAGTCCAAGAACAGTTCTGAATAGTTACCCAACTATATTGTTAGTATGCCTTGGCTTACATGTTCTTATGAATGGAATGGTCAACTAATTAGAACCGTTCTCTATCGCAATCAAAACATACCATAATTGTACGAAATTACACATAAAAATAAGTTACTACCACTGTCAGGAATATACAATTTTCCTGT